CTACTAAATGTATGAGCCCTTCTCAGACTATCTCTTACACCTGTATTACTAGAATCTAGTCGTATCCTGAAAGTCTTCATGTTTGTGGAGAAAGTCTTCATTAGTACTGGAAGCAAGTTAATCCATGATTCAATAGACCTATTTACAAACCGGGAGAGATGGCTCAGAGCTGATGACTCCCTCTGACCGTGAGGTCCTAGGTTCGAGTCCCGACGGTGGCAAGATTTTTGACACTTGCTAGGTCGAATTCAGTCGCTGTATAGAGGATAATTCTAGCGGGCGGCTGCTCGGATCGGTTGTTTTCCGTGGTTTCTTTGATCAACACCAGCCAAATACCGGCGCAGTACCCTAACAATCGGGGGGGGGGGGTACTGTAGAGCTTGTCCCGGCTGGGGCGGTGGATAACCCAGAAGCCGACGATGTCGGATCTCGCCATCCAACGGGGGAAGACCACCGCCATCTCGCGAACAACATGCACTACACGTACGGGACTAATCACCTTGGTAGTTGACGCGGCCTGAATCACTAACAATCAATCAATCCTATTTACAAAAGAGTATTTTCCAGTATCATTTTTCTGTTTCCTTGGTTGTATTTTTCTATAAAAATATAATAATAATAGTAATAATAATAATAATAATAATAATAATAATAATAATAATAATAATAATAATAATAATCAGAAGAAGAATATACCGGCTAAGAGGTAGCTAATGATATCAGTGCAGTGCCTTTGACCGACAGATGCGAGGGATTCAAATCCCAATTCTGGTAGGATTTTCGATGTAAGTTGGACAGCTGGATCGAATTCAACCTCTATGTAGAGGAGGATTTTAGCGTCCGGCTGCTCTATAGTTTTTTTCGTGGTCAATACCATGTCAACACCGATCAACACAAGACGAATGTTGGCGCAGTGCCCTAACAAACGGACCGAGCGCGATCTGTCCTTCCTCTTCCTTGTCCTGTCCTCACCCCTTACTAACACACACGCACTACACTATCATAAATGTCGGGAGAACAGTCGAGAGCTTAGAGCTTGTCTCGATTGGAGCGGTACCCCGCTTTCCCTGGAAGGGGAAACCCCTGAAGTTGACGTGTCCGCCACGGGTCTCTCCTCCATCTCCCGTGAATAAATGATCCACTACAGTAACGGAACTAATAACCTGGGCAGCTAGCACGTCCGGAAACACATCAATCAATCTGTCAATAAATATTGTTATTATTATTATTATTATTATTATTATTATTATTATTTTATTATTATTGTTATTATTAACAACAACAATGGAAGAGGCAATAAATGTCGAACCTTATACATTTGAGTATTTATTGAGGTTAATACATAACTAGAATTTTCCATCCGAAGAGCAACATAGAAACAATTTGTTCTTTAAAATTCAACCACCGCCTGTTTCTGTATCGCATTATTTTTGTAACTTGATTCGTGCCTCTCTGATTCAGGTCACCATGGCGCGACTCCAGAAGTTGGTTTTGAAACCAACAGTCGTAAACGTGGTGCTAGCTCTGCTGTCTGTGCCGATCGCTTACATATTCAACAGAGGAGCGAAGAACTTCCGCCCAGAGCTGGTCCTTGTCCTTGCATCTCTCCTTTTGGGCGGCACAGTGTTTACGATTAAAAGGATCATTCCAGGACAACCGAAGATATTCTATGGTAAAACTTACTTAATACAGTACTTGTTTGAAGATACGTGCTATTCTAAATATTGAGAAAAAAAGAAAAATTCAATAATCTTGGTATCGATAACTCTAGGCATTTATTAATGACTTGACAGAAAAGTTAAATTTGATCGACAAAATCGCCAAATATTTGTATTTACCTGTGGCCTTTTTCTATTATTGATACTGCGAGTCAAATCGTATTTGGTCAAATCCATTCTTTGGACAGCACTGATTCTAGACGTTTTCTATTAATGCTTAAATGTAGTGTTAATACCAATACAAAATCTGAACAAATAGACAGAGTAGTACAAACATTTAGTCGCTATAATATCTGTATTTTGAAAACGCTGCCCCTGATACCTACACTTTTCTTTGCTAAACTTGTTTTCACTGATATATTATTTTTCATCAAATTACGGGACTGCAAAAAATAATTTGGAAACATATGCTAGGAATTATCTGGCGAAAAGAAAGCGAAAGATATTTCTTTCTATTTCAGGTTTTGCTTTATTTGCGTTCACAAGCGTCATAGACCTGTTGATCCCTCTTGAAATCGATGGCTTCGTTACGAATTTCATGGACATGTACCTCAAAAACGGCGAGCCATATCTGTTCTCTGCTTGGGGTGCCGTTGCAGCGTATTGGGATGGAACCTTCAACCTTGTGTGCTATGTGCTCATGGGTTACTATGTCACCAATGGGTTGGTATTCGATTAATATAAAATACTTATAATTTATTTCGTATTTGTACTTGTAAATTCTCCATTTCTAAATTGTCGTTAACAGTTCCGTTGAAAATTAATTAAACTTAAATAAAAATACCCAATGGAAGAACTAAAAAGGATTGTCAAAATTCATCTGAACAATTCAATCTTGTTTGAACGCTTAATACAATTTATAATAGAAGTATATTTAATAATGAAAGTATTCTTTCGTAAATACTTTTCCCATTACTAGCGACTTGTTCATGTTACGAAAACGCACAAACACCTTATGAATTGTAAGTACCTGTTATGAACTAGGTATCTTAAATTCTTGCCCTGAAAGAGTTGTTGTAATTATCGATTGTATTGTATCGATCGAAGTACATTGTTGCAAATATCGATTCCGGTTGTTCAGGTTTTGAAGTCTTGGACACCGTGTTGGATGGTAAAAAAAAAAAGAAATAATTGGTATTAAAAGCAAATTCGTGAGTGAATCACACGTAATGACCTTGTCCATAATGAATGTTTTAATTGTATACATTTTATTTTCTTGACATTGAATGGACAAGATATCACAAGACACTTGACAAAGGTCGCAGTACATGAACAAAACGTTGTTGATGTAGTGTAATGTGTTATTTCTCTCAGTTAATATGTATTGGTCGTTTAAACTAATTGTATTAATAGAACTTTGAAGAATTTTGCCTACTCCATAACCCCATCAGCTATTAAGTGTGTGATTACAATTTCAAAAACAGCAAAAACTTCAACCACTTTTCTCTCAAAACTTGATTTTACGAGTTAGAATTGCAGCCTAAGAAGGAAATAGTGTCTTAAGGATTTTGGTGAATACAAATTTTTGAGTTACTTCAATGTATACTAAAGGGTTTAAATAAGCGGACTAGAGTATCAAATAAATAATAACTCTTGTGTGACAAGATATTTACTCTCAGTTTTTCAGTGATGGAAGAAAAATGTGAATCGAAATAACTTTTTAAGCTGATCTGTTTTCTACATCTTATTATTTTAAAAAAATATATACTACTCGCGCATGACTTTCTTTATCGATGACAGTTTTGTGTCGACAATTCATCGACAAATATTACAATTAATTTACCATTTGTACATTTACAAATTTAAGAAAGATGAAAAAGTAAATGATGACAATGAAGTTGTTTAGAGCACGTGCTCTGCAAATCACCGACGTGGCCTTTAGTTATCTGAAAAGATTAACAGGTGGTGACCGTAGAAACGTTATCTTATGCTCGGTCTCGGCATCTTACAAGGACACGTGTGGACACATTTTAACCAATTTAAAAGCCAAAATAGTAATGACCATTTTACATGGTGAAAACTAATAATTTCCCAACTCAACATTATAAGAGTTCGACCTCTAATTTAGAACAGGTAGCCGTGTTACTTCTTTTGACGTCAATCGATTTGATAATGTTTAGTGATAATTGTGTATTGAGTAGCATTTTATACTGGTATTTTTGCCTCAAGAGCCTTTGACAACTTCAGATCCACCAAACAATTGAAATGCTTCTCAATAGCATTTGTAAATTAGTTATATTATTCACTAATGTATGTAGATAAATTCAACAGTTTATTCAACCACACTCTCTCAAATAAATTGCACAAAGTGAAGAAAGTTGAATGAGTTCATGTATTTTACTTATTTAAACATCGCGTATTCATCAAACTATAGCTTGCAAAGATATACTTTTTAAAGCAATATTTCAAAATCTGAGGAATATTATTTTGTAATAATTGTTATATGATTATAAAATAAATGGAAATGGATAAACTTCGAAATATCAATACCATGTCATGAATTATGAAGTGGTGTATTACTCTCTAATGAAATATTTATTTTGTGTTCTTTTAGATTACCCTACAGAAACCTCGCATTATTTTATTCATCGAATATTTTGAATAGTATGATTGTACTCCTTTTGGGAGCATTTCTAAGTCACACTGGTTTACACTGGTGTACGATCTTGAATATTCCCTATGTACTGCTTCCGGCATACGTGCTGTGGTCGGCACTAGCAGAACCACACAACCAGAAAAGTTCCATTTCGCTGACGCGTTCCCTGCGTCACAGTGTGGCTTTGTTATTGCTGGCAGCTACTGTGCTTAACTGCATAAGAGGGATCGTAAGTAAACTTTTTATTTTTATTAAGAGTACACCTCTGGTATTTCGTGTTAAATCGCGCAAAACAAGTTCATTTAATCCCTTGCTGCATTATGGATATATCTATGGATTGTGGATTATGAATTATGGATATATACATCTATGTAAAGGAACATACGACAAACGGCGAGTGAAAAGAGTGAAATGGACGGATGAGCAGCAGGTGAGAGGTGGGAGAGTGTTATGGGGAGGGTAATTGACGGATGAGCAGCAGGTGAGAGATTGGGTTTAAAAACCAATACCCTACCCATTTGGAATCGATCCTTGTTGCTAGGAGTGTTGCGGATTGTTTCAAACAAACTAGAGCGATAGGAAAACGGTTTCCCTATTTTTTAGGGTTTTCCGCAGTTTTTGATGTCCTTCCTCAAATTATCGACGTTGATTCGTGGGGTTGTGCAATTAGTGTTTTTGGTGTGGGTATGAGAGGCTGTCGGCGTTGGTGGGCGCGGAGTGTGTGGGTTTATAGTATTAGCAAAGTGACTTATACTATTGCGTTACACTTTGTGGTGTCGGAGAAAGTGCGACGCAAATGTTTCAATGAGCTAACAGACGTATCCGTATATTAAAAATTAAATAAATAAAATTTTAAAAAAGCAGAATTACATGTTTTCTTTGCAACTTACTTGTTTTCCCTTGTGCAAAAAGTATGCAAACCAACTAATTGTCATCCGCAACGGAGAATTAGTTGTTTGTCGTAAAGATGTCACTCTGGCTTTAATAAAAACAAGTAGATTTTGTTGTACTTTTAACGATATTAAGATAATAAAAACTAAACAGTTTTGAAATTCTACTATTTGACATGTGTTGATTTGCATGTATTCTTTGCATATATGCGATTTTATTTATTTTTTTCTGAAAGGTTATTTTCATAGTTAGCTTATTCAATCTCACTCTCTCGAATAAATTCCACAAAGTGATAAAATTTGTCTTCATCATTTGAATTAGGCGAATAATACACTAACGTTTTAATGATTTTTGTGTGAAATATTCAACTCTTGACTATTTCCTATATATTTTAACATCAAGTACTGCCTTAATCATGTGCGTTTTACAGTTCTCCCAAATCGATGACCAAACTGCGTAAATTTTCTAAATTAATCACGTAAATTCTCTGAAGAAGGCAAATATATTTTGACGAAACATCAAAGAAAGAAAATATATGGCGATTACTTTTGAATGCTTTGTGTGTAATAAACTCGATCCACTGGTCTTTTTCATTCCTTCTGTGTATTTCGTAATTTTGGATCAATCAGTAGCCACATCAACTTACGTTAAACTTAGTCTTTACCAAATGCATTGATTCTAATACAAAATACATTTTCGCATCCCAAGTATATTTTTGTATTGCAATTGAAAAATTGACTTGTTTTGAAAGTAAAATTGAAATGATAAATAAATGCGATGAGATTGATTTGCTCATAGTACTTTTGGTACATTTTTTTCTGAAGTGGTTTTCGAAGTTTGTAACATGTCTTGAGGAATTTTTGTCTGATTCCAGTCGAGCCTTGGAAGCCGGGTCGCAGTCATGACATATTACAGAGATTCTGTGGAGCCTTTGATCAACCAGAAAATCCCAGCACCCTTTGCAGGAGTGCAAGGAATTGTATGTTTAGTTTATTTTGCTCCGGCGTACCTCATAATGGCAATTACTGTTCACCGCAATGCTGTTCGCGGATGGATAAAGGATTTGGCCATCATAACATCTGGAGCTGCTCTTCAGGTGAGACTATCGATTCATAAAGAAATGAACAGGAAAGGTATGTCGATTATTAGTTGGGATGATATTCAATAACTAGACATTTATGAAGACCTTTGAGTTTTGTAGTTATTGCAATGTATGAATATTTGTATCTGTTGAATCACATTTTCCAGCGTATTTTACTACAGGGCACGATTTTTTCTAACTCTGTACAGTCAGGGCCGTTTCGACCTCTGAGGCTCCCGGCGGATTCGAAAATGAGGCCTCCCTCCACAAACACACACACATGCGCGTGTACATCATTCAATGATAAATACACCTCTACAAATTATAGCTGCATTACTACCAATAAATAAGGGACTTCAATGCCGAGCCAAAAAAGTAGGGGCCCAGATTCCTCAACCTCCAGAGGACAATTTGAATGACTCAACACGAAAACATCATCCCAATTCAAGAATTGAACGTTTTACCCTTCCAAGATCACAAGGAGAGCGATATGTTGTTAATCTCATAAATCTACACAGATATCAAATTGCATCACTCAGAAGATACATTGGAACATTGTGGGAGAGTTCAGCAAGCCTTGAGCGCAGTTGATAATAACTATAGTCCTCTGAACATGAAAAGGCTTCGTCCGCCTGTTCAGCCAATCACTGAAACGAAAGAGAAGATAACCTCATGGAAAGCGAATGCACGACACGGTAGAGGTACAGTTACGTCCACTAGCAGATCTCCAACGCCCTCGAAGTTCGAAAGACGTGCTCCAAGTGGTACAAACACATTCATGAAAAACGTTGACTGTCTGTTGGACTGTTTACAATTTTGAAAGACCAATAATTATAAACTGAAAGCACGAAAGTGGCAAACATACCCGTATATTGTTATCCAGGATTTGGCGATCGATCAAAACGCCGTGCGATCAAAACGTCGTGCGATCAAAACGTCGTAACCAATCAGGTAGAGAAACGTCTTAACTATAAGTTTTGAAATCGAGATCAGCCGAATGGGTCGTCCCGATAGGAATCGGAGCTCGGGAATTTGTTTTGCAAAATTTGTGGAAGAACTTAGCTAAACTCCCAGGTCATTCAAAAGACTGGGAAGTGCAAGGCATTTATTGGAAACAGCCCCACATTTTCCCCAAAGTATTGTCCAGGCACCTACAGTCCCTAGATCAGCTCCTTAGAAAACTGATAGCAACCCGGAAAACATTTTATAATCAACCGGCTCATAATGTCTTTAGTCTTGAATCAGAAGAATTCCTATCTCTAATCATGGTTGAATCCCCGGCGCCGTTGGCGTGTTGCAGGCGGAGGTGTCGCTGCTGGGGATGGCGTGGCACCCGCTGACGCAGCCAGAGCACCGGCTGGCGCCCGCGGCGGCGTGCGCGTGCTCCACCCTGCTGCACGCGGCCGCCCACGCGCTCACGCTGGGCGCGCCGCTGCTGGTCGCCGGCATGTTCTTCTGCCCCGCGCTCACCCGCGCCGCCGACGCCGACAAGAAGGACAAGAAGGACAAACACGAGAGAAAAGACAAGAAGGCTAAGAAAGAGAAGAAGGAAAAGAGGGAGAAGAAAGACCTGGAGGAAAAGAAGGAAAAGAAGGCCAAGGAAGAGAAGAAGGAGAAGAAGAACAAAGAAGAGAAGAAAGAAAAGAGCAAACAGGAAAAGAAGGATGACTAGAAAGAAAAGACTGAAGTTTTAACTGACCTAAAAGGCAGCTCAGGTTTTATACACAAGACTCTACCGAATAGTAAGTTCATTGCTCGTTCCAAAAGTTCCTTAATGATAAAGTGCGCGCTGTAAAATAGGTCATCTTTCAAACTTTGTATACGGGTTTTTTTATCGTGTTCACTCCTCATCGACTTTGATAAACAAAAACTGAATTAGAAAAGATAATTGGGATATGGGAGATATTTTCGGGTAGGGATATTTCATTTCACTATATTGCATTCTCTGGTTTCTCCCGTGTTTTCAGTCATTCACTTCTTGTATTTTTCAAAACTATTGAATAAGCAATTGGAGTGGATTATTTCTTTTCTTCAAGTTTTATACAATGGTTATTCAAGGGAGGTTTCCATTTTGTATTTTTTGGTTTTGAAATCTTCACTGCATTCTGGTTCAATAGCCATGTACAAATGTATAATACTATTTCATCTAGTAGAACTTTGAACGTTATTAAAAACTTCATTATTTCCTAACTTTGAATTCAACTTCAATGGACGAAAGTTAGTTTCTCTACACTGCCAGTATGTCAGTAAGACAAACTCAATGGTGCTTAAAGAAGGGAAAATGAAGATTAAAGAAAAAAGAGGAAAACATCCAGGAAAATATTTTTGAGGTCATTATGACATGCATGAAGTGCAATGCTATGAGCAATAAAAATGTGTACAAATATAAATGGATTTATTTAAAATATGTTATTATTTATTTAATTTGTATTTCCTCCATGGATGCATACGACATGTATTCTTAAAATTCATTACTTCATTCAAAATTGATCATTCATTAAGGTAGGTACTTTTGTTTTGTGCTTTGGCAATTTTAATAATTTAATATTAATCTGAAATGGATATATAATTACCTTTCGCTCTGTAAGATTTCTTAAAATATATTTTTGAAAGTCATTGGAATTATAACCTTGATTCATAATCGAAAAACCCTGACTTAATCGTAAAAAACTGACATATTTTGTTTTTTACTTAATCAGCATTGAAAATTTTATCCAAAATTTTTTTAATTTGCTGCTATAAATTGTAAAAACCTTTCTTTGTATTTCATGGCACCTAGTTGGTGCTCACGAATGACCTGCAGTGTGTATATTCCACCTACACTACCTTTTCCTGAAACATTTCATGAAGGTTTTTATGATGTGCATTCATTCCGTTTGCTTTACTTTCGGTGCGAAGTTTGACAATCAATGGTTGTGATATTGATACAGTACTTGGCAACATACATACACCATGGAGCAATCACTTTGATGATGTGCATTTGGTTGATGTGAAGGGTAAGGGGGAATAATTTCTGGGTGTCTGAACTCAGATAAACAATAGAAAGTTAATTTAAATTAATTGAACACAAAATTCAATGAACTTAGCACGTTCGGAATTGAATGAACGTTTTAACTGTGTAATGATAATTAGGGCAGATTCTAACGCCCTAAAACAGCTACAACCCCTAAAACTAGCCAAAAATGCTCTTAAAATGTTTTAAAAATGCCCTAAACGCAAAGAAACCTTTCTTAAAAAATTTGATCAAAACCACTTCGGATGAACAACTCAATTTGTTGGGTACGATCCCAATGTAATTGAGGCTTCTATTTGTTCAAGTGAATTCAGCTTGCAGACTTTTGGTTTGGACTGTTCTTTACTAGGAAATCCCTGTCTTTCGTTATATGGCACTGATAGTCGTCACAGAAACCTTGTATTACATACAATTGTTGATATTACAGTTTATGAGCGAAGAAATAGAATAGGCTTTACAGATATTCTGTGGACAATATTTGTTGCATCTCGTAAGTATTATTTTGGAAGCAAGTACCATTAGAATGGCATTAGAATCGATTAAATCAGCGAAAAATGTATTAAAAATGACGTATTAGTCAAAATCGACGAAAAATACAACAAAAAAAGACAAAAAAATGGGTCCTTTCCTTTTGTCATAACATACAATTAATTTCTATACAAAACGACATTGTTTTAAAGTGAACAGAAAATAGACATTGCATTCAAATCCACCCCCTAATAATAATAATAATAATAATAATAATAATAATAATAATAATAATAATAATAATAATAATAATGTAATGCGACCGCCAAAGAGGCCATATTTTTCGACCAGCACAATTTATTTTTCTAACATGCGAGACGGCGTTTGCAAAGAATACCAGGAATTCTGCACTTTTCTGGTCGCAGCGCGGTTTACGTTGCCTTGCTATTGAACGATCGCTTTTCCCCCAACAGTTCCTTGGCCCGAGATCCGGGTCGCGTATCGCGGGCCATGGGGGCCGTCGAGCCAGAGACGGGGAAACGATGGATCACTTGATTATCGGCAAGGAACACAAGCAGTTGTGACTACTTCGGTGTGGGGCCATACAGCTGACGGGAATAAGTACTGGGTCGCGATTCCGTACCGGCGCCCTAGTCAGCTACTGCCACCACCGCCTTTTACGACTTCCGCTTTGCCGCTGATATAGGATCGAGTAGTTTATAAACATTTATAAATGAGCTCGAAGTGAGGGCAGCTAGAAGTCCATCCCGATCTCAAGTGAAGGCGGCTCCACTCATTTGTTATTCGGCGAGTAGCGAGCAACCGCTCGCCGAATCCCGAGTAGTGTGGATGAGTTGCTTGCTAGTTGCCGAGTTGCTTGTTCTACGCACCGCGTGTCGGTCTTTAGGACACATCAAATGAAGCGAACATTCGCCGAACACATCAGCTGTTCGGGATTGGGAGAGCAGAAGCTCGCTCCTCGGCGAATGCCGAATGTGTGGAGCCGCCGTAATAGTGTGCGAAATTGCGTTGCCAACCGTGCGTTTGAGGCACGCGATCGCCATCGCTGCTGCCAGTGCGTTGCCGGAGGAGCCCTGGCCGAGAGAGGAGATATCAGCCGGTCAGTGTTCCCTGTAGGGGAATCCTCAGCAGCAGACGTCGGCGACCCATCACTCGCTCAGTGCGTACCTGGTTTAGTCACGGGCCCATGAAAAATGGTAGACTTAGAAATTGTCTTGTGAGAGAGCTACAGTAAGTTTAAGTCCAAAATTTTGATTTGTGATTTTCGCCTTTGTTTGACTTGGAAAAACCTTTTTGCAAATAAGGCATAATGAGCAAAACTTTGCTAAACGATGGGGTGTTCAAAATTTCGAAATTCGCAAGACAGCAAGTTAATTGCTAGTCACTTTAAAGTCGAAAATTTTATTTGCGATTTTCGGCGTTTTATGACTAGGGGAAAACGTATTAAAGGTTGGACAAACTTGAGTAAAATTTTGATGTATGTTATTTGATTTTTCGAAAAAGTGTGGGGTTCCAACTTCACGCACCCTTTTTATGGACCTGGGTCATGAGATTTTAGGTCAAGAAAGTGAGATTAGGTTAGTGAAGCAACGGGACAAGCTGATTTTGAGAGCAAAATGACATTCGATATGATACCAATTTGAGAGAACTTAAATCAAAACCACGTACGTCACAAATAGACGTTTCATACAACTCTAGTTCAGCCATTATAAATAACCATTCAGTCGACTCAATTTTTAAAAATATGGGAAAATTAGATCAAGAAAAAAATTAAAATTCAATGGGTGGAAAGAACTCTTCATAAATGTTCATTCCGATAATGTCAATTCTCTGATTCAATTTAGATGTCTCTCCCGAGGAGGAGGCAAGATAATAATCACGTGACCATGGACACCAGGGTCGATGATGAAAATCTTTTCAGTTTTGAAAGGTTGTAAATGCGTTTTTATTGATCTATTAACTGCAGACCACAATTACTTTTAGTACCAATACTGGGTGTTAATGCAATATGTCAATGCCCAGCGTTTGATATATCAAACCAAAAATAGATACCACCTAAAAAAATGATAATATGATTTTGATGATGATCTATATATTTCAGTTTGTAATTATTAGGGGTAGGATTTTAATGAAATGCATTTTTTTCTTTTTACTTTAGAACAATGCCTTTTAGTATAGAAATTATTTTGTTACCACAAAACGAAATGACCCTTTCTTTTATTCTTTTTTCCGTCAATTTCGACTAATGTTATTTTTTACCATTTTACGTCATTTTTAATGCATTTTTTGCTGATGTCATCGATTTGAATATCATTTCAATCGTTCTTGGTTCAAACAATATTTACGAGATGCGAATGTTCGCCACCGAACTCCTGAGTAGACTTTTCGAATTCTTCGCTCATGTATTGTAATGTCAGCCGTTGTGAGTATTTTGTAATCTAAGATTCCTGTGACTCCTTTCGGCGCCGTTGTCAGTAAGGTCGATTTCGCGATAAATAAAAGCAGAGGTGTTTTTTTTAAAGAACAGTCCAAACCAAAAGTTTTGCAAGCTGAGTTCACTTGATCAAAAGAAAGAAGTCTCGATTACGTCAGTAACATATCGAAGAGCTTGAGTGGCTTTGATAAAAAATTTTGAACTTATGCAATTTGCAAAAAAATAGGGTTTTCAACGGCCATGAAACCTACAATCTCTTAAACGTCCTTCCCACTATCCAACAACAACTATTTTTTTTTTTTAAATATGCAGACGTTTTTATGGAAATCTGGAAAATGTTTCAGGCGTTTCATATAGACTACCCTCCAAAATTAAAATATCGGTTTCAAATTCAAGAAGACGCGAGATGCTTGAGCCAGATTAATTGATGATTATCAATTTTGGAGAAAATCAGCTGAACGGTTTAGCCGCTAGCGTTGTTCATAGACGAATAGATGGACAGTCAGACGTTTTGGCGTCATTCGATATTTCGGTATCAAAAACATGAACTCGGTATCACGAAACAAGGATTGTGGTTACACCACGTGTTAAAGGATTTTTTCTAATTTTAGCTACTAGATATCCACTTTTTCGATACCAGGGTCTTGTATTAATTTAAGACTTTTTCTGCCGAAAATTCGCCGTTTTTTCGCGCAGCTTTACATAACTTTCTATCTACTCCATAGCAAGAAAATAGATTGGATTCCTTAAATGAATTAACTGTTTCATGTGTTTTTTATGTAAAGTTCCTGAAATTATTTGTGGTTAATATGTGTTCTCTATATATAATACATGCATTTTAAAAATCAAAATTTGTTGCAACTTATAACTGTGGTAGAAAATGGAGTTTAGACGGTTACCTATTTCTTTGAAATCATTTGAGTGTTGATTTATACGTTCTACTGATTTAACTATTGCTCTACAATCTGTAGTAAAACTAGAAGCAGAGTCGAAAATTCTAAAGAAAAACCTAAAACTATTTCCAAGCAGCAAATACGATTTGACTTTTAAATAGTTGCTTTTTATCTTCTTGCATTTAATAACGTAAGAAGAGAAAGTATTGTAACTGCGCCGGAAAACGCCGAATTGTCGACACAAAAACTCTTACTGCTGGGCCTTGGTAAGGAAAAAGTGGATAAATGCAGTTGCTAAATGGAGAAAAAACCTCCAACACGTGGTGTAGACAGAATATTTGTTTTGTGCGTTTTTCATACCGAAAAATCGATTGACGGCAAAAAATCTGCCTGTCCGTCTGTGCACAAAGCTAGCGCATAAACTGTTCAGCCGATTTTCTCCAAAATTGATATTCCCCAATCGTTCTAGCTGGTGTTGCGGATCCTAGAATTTGAAACCAATATTGTAATATTGGGCTTTACGTGAAACCCCTGGGACATTTTCAAAAAAGTCTTCAAAGTTTTTGATTAAATTCTGTTGTTAAATAGTGCAAAAGACGTTTAAGAGAATGGTGCTGGTCTCGGGGGCAGGTGCATTTTCGTTGACATCCTTAATTTTCCGAAAATTAAAAAAAGATGAGATTCAAAACTAAAAATTGAATATAGAAATTTTTACCTCAGACGAAGTCTGTTGTTCCAAATTAGTTTTTTTTTTTTAAAAAAAAGAGCATGTACAATTTAAAAGAAAGAGTAGTTTTGCATAATTTTTATATGAAATTAATTAAATATGTACAGATTTCGCACCACCCTGCATTTTATGGCAAAAATGGAATAATTGATAAGAAAATATGTTCTCATTGTTGGCAGCGTCCATCGCTGCACACGCGCTTAGTTGCCAGCGCTGATCGATTGAGATGTGTTGGTATAAGCAGAAATACTGTATAATATTATGACATAACCGTTACTAAGGGACGAGAAAGTATGTGCTGTTTAGCACCACCAGTTTACTACGAGCTTCATGCAAAAGTACCCTCAAAATTCAAAGGTGTATTTTCAAAATCTCTGGGCTTTGAATCAGTCAAGAAAGATTAGGTTGATAGGAGATATAGATTGTTGACAGAAAGATAGTTGTTCATACATGACGGACAGACGGTCGAAAGTTTTGGAAGGAAAACAACCTAATTTTTCGGTATCAGAGTTTCAAAACGATTATTTCCCTTAAAATCTGGAAATCAAATTTTCGCTACCTGACGATCTCATTATTTCGTCCGTATATACGTACACTTAGGAGAATCCTTTTTTGTGTTACAAAATGAAATGTAAATTGTTTTCATTGAAAGCAAATTACGCTTAATTTTTTTAAAATGAAGGTAATTGAATTTTCCCTTTGTGAGGTGAAGCATCAATCTATTGAAACATATCACTAGCTAGAAAAAAAATGTTGGAAGGATACTTGAACTTGTTGCTTTTTTCATACTCCAAAATCAGTGCAGTTCCTTGAGCATTACATGTTCCTTGGCCACTTGTGAAATATAAAATGGCTAATTTTGATTGCAATTTTCTTTATTCTTACTGTAATACTGGATATTTATGAAAATAACTGAGACTCTTTAACCTTTTATAACTGGAAAATGTGTTTGCATATGGAACTTCACATACTGTGCAGTGTCATCCTTATGTCACAAATGCAATTTTAACTTTGTGAAGCACGAGTACAATAATAGATAGTTACTCAGAATTCTCAATTTTCATTTCAACTCTACTTTCAGTTTGTCATTCGTGTATTGTTGTGACACATTGTTATGTTATCAACTGTAAAAGGTTCATAATGAAAACACCATTGATGAAAAATGATGTATTTGGCAACTAGTTGGTAAATTTACAGTTTTACAAGTGGAGATAGACAACACTTCATTTTGAAATTTTGTTTTGCATACAAATGTACATTTTCAATGCATTGTTAGAAAAATTAAGAGAAATGCATTGGAATCCATATCTAATGGAAAGTTTATTAGTTTCAACCTTCATTAGAACTAGACATTGCACTAATAATTGAGGATATTTTGCAAATCATGTTCGGTTGGTTTATTCACGTTGAATAAAACCGGGAAATCGAATAGTCGATAGTTTAGATCGATTATTTAAATATAGCGACTTCTAAAGATCGGTTTCTCGTAGGAGAGTGGAACATTGTTGTCTAATCGAAAGTTTCAATACCAAAATACCTAAGTCATAACGAAGCTCTCTATTGGATAACCGTGACTCCGTCTTCTATCAGCTTCTGTCGTGAGGAGTCACTATATTTCCACGGGACGGAACGAGGTTCAATCGCAGATTCCTTAACGACGCGGTGACGCGCTTGACGCGTGGTGTGAAGTGTCAGAGGTTGTATTTGAGAAAGATACAGAGCATAGAATTATACGTTACAATGACATGACAGGGGTATTGTTTTAAAAAATCAGAATCGGTGATTGATGTAAGTCTTTCTTTGACTGAGTAGCAGAAAGTCGTGGTCTTTCCATTACCCTTCAAAAACTAGGAATTTGTGAAAGAACCTGTCATCATGTTTATTTATTTGAGTAAAAAAGTAGGTCTAAATTTTTAGATATTTATACATGTGTGCAATAAACTTTTCACTTAGATTTATATTGAAATGCAATTATCTTTGCAGATTGCGATTCCAAATAATACAAAATTGAATTGTTTGGCATGGAACAAGGAGCAAGGGTACATTGCATGTGGTGGAGATGATGGCTTACTTAAAGTTTTAAAGCTTGAATCAGGTAATAATTGTATAAGAGTTACCTTAAATACAATGGAGACAAATTTTGTGTTTTTAATGTTCATCTTCCTTACAATAGTTTCTATTGAAGGTGTATTTTAAAAATTGAAAGATTGTAGGATTGTTATGATCTTTAGGAAATTATTTTATCAAAGGTGTGCCACTTTTTTAGTCTTGAGTTCTTTTTTATGTGATCATGTGTGTTCAAGAAAATGCTGAAACTTTCAAGCTCTTCATGGCATAAACAGTAGTCTTGAGTTGTATGCACACAGGGGGACGGAGCAGTGGCAATGTCCCACTGAAATTTTTTAAACGAGGCCCCACAGCATTATGTAGTAAAACTTTGAATACATTTGATCTCTGATTTTACCTTTTTTAAACCTGACAATTTAGGGAATTATCATAAGGTATTTTGGGAAGAGGCTCTAAAGTCATTCAGCAACCTACAAATGGTTCAACATTTAATGAGTTATTAAGAAATTTTATCAATGCAGTTGTAATTCAATTTTCTGCATATGTTTTATTAATTTGCTCGTAAAATATGTCATGTGTAAATAAAATAGTTTAATTCCTTTTGGGAAATGTTGCCCCCTCTTGTTTCAGGCTGTGCATGCCTTCAATAAGCTTTATCCAATTTTAACACAGTTAATGATTTACTTGTGAAGAAGTTCTCCACAAATAATGTCTCAATCAAAATACTTTTAATACATGTTAACTATTCTACCATAGAATTTTTTCAATGCATATTTTCATGATAAACAATTTTACGCTTTCTTAATTTTAAGGCAAAGATGGAAAATTGAAAGGTTTAGCTGCACCATCAAATCTTTCAATGAACCAAACATTAGAGGGTCATAGTGGTCAAATTCAAGTTATTACTTGGAATGAAATTCATCAGAAGTTAACCACAAGTGATCAGAATGGACTTATTATTGTGTGGATGCTATACAAGGTACGACTAATATGATGATTTGTTGTAAGAGATTGTTAGCATGTGGTGAAACAAAATATTATGAAAACTTTTTCTGCTTGCAGGGTTCTTGGTGTGAAGAGATGATAAACAATCGTAATAAATCAGTTGTTAAGGGAATGGCATGGAATTCAGATGGTCAGAAAATATGCATTGTTTATGAAGATGGTGTGTTTTATCATTAGTACAAAATACATTCGTAGGTTGAACTTTAGCTTAGTCTTTACATTTACTGGCACTGCAGAAAGGGTGAAGAAGGCAGAAACACAGGCCTTACCTGTATATATTTTTTGGCTTAAGAATGCACTGGTAATTTTGCAGTGTCCAGACTCAATTTTTTTATGTAGGGGGTCATCCATAAATTACGTAATGTAAATTTGGCATGTTTTGAAAATCCCCTCCCCACCTTGTAATTCATGCTTGAAATCCCCTTTAATAATGTAATAATTACGTAATGTTGGCGATAAGATTCCCCCCCCCTCAATATAATAAGTAAAAATCAATTATAAAACAGAAAGAGCAAGTTTATTAATTGTATTTCTGTTATATATTGAAATTCATGATCATTAAAGTGAGAATTAGGTAGCAGTTCCAACTGCACATAAAAATAAGATATGGGGACAATTTTCGAATGAAGGGTTGGGTGAGAACATTTCTGACAACAAAGCTCATGCCCTCTTGGATGATGCAAAGGCTTGTAGTCTGCTGTACCAATTTAATTAGATTCTTGAATATACTATAGATTAGTTGTGAATTTTCTTTGTAATCTAATAGATTCAATGTACATTATTGATGAAAAATTATTTCTATTTATTCTAACAATTTACACATCACCTTCTTAATTTATTATAATTTAATTTATTAATGTATTTATGTCTCAGTAAGAGACTGAATAAAATAAATTATTTCAGCAGCTGTTGAAACATTTTAAAAATATATATCTGCATTATGTACCACTAACATGTGTCCACTGCTATGTAACGCAGTGTAGCATTGCTTCAAACCCACTATACATCTTTGGCGTTATGTAATTTATGGACGACCCGTAAATCTTGTGAGCTAAATGCCACAGCCTCACTGTTGAGTTTGAAGTGCACAAGCAAAGCAAATCACATCACCTTGGCCTTATGAATGTTTTGTTTTTAAGGTCCACTAGAATTTTGCAGCTTCCAAATTCATTGTTGTTTTGAATTACTTTGACTTACCTTTGCACCCTCCATTGGAGTGGCCAAGCTTGGTAAAGTGTAACCCATTTTTATTGTAATGTTTTTGATGTGAGTTGGAGGAAATATATTTTCAATGTAAAGGGACATAAACTGTGAGTGAATTTGAAATATTTATATACCATTTAATGTATAAATTATTCTGTTGATGATAAAATTATTATAAGCAAAGTAATTACTAAATATTTAGATCATATCACGACTGGCAGTGTTTTTGTTTGTTTCTTGATGTGCACTGTGTACTATTAAATGTGCATATAATAAAGAATTGAAGAAGGAGGGAGCAGATACTTAGAGAATGCTGTTAGTTCTGAAGTACAGATCTTAAATTTCTTGTTATAAATAATGCACTTTGTATTTTTATTCCATATTATGTCTATTTTATTTACTATCTTTTTGTTACTAGGAGCTGTAATTGTTGGCTCAGTAGATGGAAATAGGATATGGGGCAAAGAATTGAAAGGGATTATGCTGACTTGTGTAGAATGGTCACCAGATGGCAAGCTTCTGCTATTTAGCCTTCGAAATGGAGAAGTTCATGCATATGATAATCAAGGAACTTTTGCGGTGAGATTTTATTATTGTTCCTTAAGAGTGTGTATAGCATGTTTGATTGTAAATTTTATATTATAACCTTGAAGTACAATATAATTTTAATTTCAGATGAAATTGCATATTCAGTGTCTGCCAATTGTTCAAGGACCAGTCCAGGTCATATCAATTCATTGGTATGATGGTCGTTATGGATATATTGAAGAGGGTTGCCCAGTACTTGCTATCTGTTATGAAAATGGTTGCATGCAGATAATGAGAGGGGAAAGTGATGACAGTAAGACATGAAAATATTTTGTACTTTTAAGGACTTATACAGATTTATACTTTTTCTTTTTAAGGGATGAATTATAAGATTTCTCTTCTTTTTCATTTTCTTTAAAATGGATTGTTTTCACCAAATTTTCTCTGATATTCACTAGAGATTTATTTTTCTCTTAATTTATTTCACACTCTAGGTAATCCACAGCTTCCTGCTTTTTTGCTTGAACACTAATCTTTTTCTCATTTGAGTGTGCTCATTAATTTACTCATTTCTTTAAATTTTTGTTGAGCTTCAATTAGTGGTTGGTTATCTGCCCTTATATCTCTTTCAGCAATGAACAAAATACAAAAATTAAACAAAATTTGGACATGTCTTAAAACCTACACAGAGAATGAAAATAATTGGAGACCTTTATATTTTTCTACAATTTTTCCAATTCTTCATTTTGTGAGTTGTGGGAATGTTTTGATATTCTTAATTCTGAAAGTACTATTATCATTTGGGCAAATTTCCACCTGCTTATTGCCCTAAAAATAATTATAATTTGTCAATTAATATGCCAAGCTAGATTAATTGATTGTTATTCTTCATAGAAAATTATTGATTTATAATTGTTAACACAACTATGAATGCTCAGAATTGGGTGAAAACTATACTAGTGTCAGTATTATAGTATATTATACAAACAAAAAATAAATTGATTAAAACTTTACCTTCTGATATGAGGTAACAATTTGTTACTGAGAGAGAAGAGGGTTTGCAAGACCTTTTGTGTATTTCTGTATTTGGTCATTGGAGAATAACCTTTCAAATTCTTTGATTTGGTAGTTTTGTAGTGTGATGGCATCTGTTGTCTATTGCAGCTTCTCTGAAACTTCTCTGTGGGACTTGACTTGTCAAGGACAGAAATATTTCTTTCTGAAGAAGAATACACTTTTCTAGTGTGTTTATTAGCAATTCTTTGGGTAGAAGGCTATTCACTTGCACACAGCACTGAATGCACTATATTGGTATAGCTTACTCATTATGCATTGACTAAACTTAATGAAATTCAGATATTGCGGTGATATGTGGTAAGTATGATTGTAATTCACATAATATAATTGAATTCAGAATGTATGCTATGTAGGCACTGGTACAATATTACGACAGTTTGTTTTTTATGTCTTGACAAAGCATGTAGTATAGTTTAGAGCTTGGCATAGGAGCTCCAAAATAATGAACCTTTGAATTCCATTGCTTATGAAAGGTTTTAATCGTGTTCATATTAGAAAATTTTTATTAGACAATTTACTGGAGTGTTTTGTCTATTTTCAGTGCCTGTTATAATTGATACTGGTATGACTGCTATATGCTGTTGCTGGAACCATAACGGAAGTGTAATAGCTGTTACTGGAGTTATGCAACTGGCTGGTGAGAATAAAGACTGTAATGTTATTCAGTTCTTTAGCCCTTTTGGAGAGGTAATTGTTTGTAATACTCTGTGGAAATGGAGGGATCTGAGAGAGATAATCATTAGTGGAATTCTCAATTGTTTGGCAAATCCATGAAAATCAATACAAGTCAATATAAATCTGTTAACTGTTATTCCTATGAGGAATTGGAAACTTGTAATCCTGATTGGAGAGCATTGGAGCATGCTCAATTCAGGAAACTCAAAATTGTAGCTTTTGACTCTCCCTCTCTGGCCCTTCAGATTTTAATTGCTATGTTCTCCTAAAGTATTCACATATTTCAACAGTTTCCCATTTTTATGAATGTTACAGCAATTACGTTCCTTGAAAATTCCTGGAATTGAAGTGACGAGTTGTGTATGGGAAGGAGGTTCCTTGAGGGTAGCATTAGCTGTTGATTCTTTTATCTACTTTGCCAATATTCGCCCAGATTACAAATGGACTTATTTTGAAAGTACAGTTGTCTTTTCTTATTATCGCCCTGAAAAATATGGCACTATTATTACATTCTGGAATACAACAAATGGTGAAGTGAGTATCATGGACCAATTTTAATGTATCTGTGAAAAGGTTTGATTGATGAGAAATTTACAATCTAAGGATGTAAATCTTTCTCTCTCCCCTTTTTCTTCCTTTCTCTTCCTTTCTCTCTCCTCCCTTCTCTCTCTTTCTTTCTTTCTCTCTTCATTTCTTTCATTCTCTCTTTCTTTCTCTTTCTTTTTTGTCTTTCTCTTTCTTTCTTTCTCTACCTCTCTCTTTCTTTCCCTCTTTCTCTTTCACTCTCTTTCACTCACTCTTTCTCTTTCTTTCTCTCTTTCTCTTTCTTTCTCTCTTTCTCTTTCTTTCTCTCTT